GGCGACTGCGTGGCTCATTTGGTTAAATGACTCTTGACCTCAACTCAGGTCTTGATCTAAGGGTTGTGAGCTAGAGCCCACTTTGGGCTCTGTGCTGGGTGTGGAGCCAACATAAAAAAATAAAACTAAAAAGTTAAAACAATAAAAGCAGACTCATAAATACAGAGAACCGGTGATTGCCAGAGGGGAGGGGAGTGGGGGAATGGTCTAAATAGGGGGAAGGAATTAAGAGGTACAAAGTTCCAGTTATGAAACCAGTCACAGGGATGAAAAGTACAACATTGGAAATGTAATCAATAATATTTTATGTTGACAGATGGTGACCATACTTATTATGGTGAGTATTTTGGTAATATATGGAATTGCTGAATCACTGTTCACCTGAAACTAATATAACATGTTAACTACACTTCAATATTAAAATTGCATCTATATTAATCAAGGATACGGATTTACAATTTTTTGTTCTTGTAGTGTTTTTCTCTGGCTTGGTATCTGGGTAATGCTTGCCTTTTAGAATGAGTTTGGGAATATTCCCTCTGTTCAATATTTGGGGAAGATTTGGATAAGAATTGGCATTAATTCTCCTTTAAATGTCTGTTAGAATTCACCAGTGAAGCCATCTGGTCCCAGGGTTTTCCGTGTTGTGACATTTTGATTACTGATAAGTCTTTTTACTCATTATTTGTCTGTCCAGATTTTCTATTTCTTCATGATTAAATCTTGGTAGGCTGTATGTTTCTAGGAATTTTTCTATTGCTTCTAGGTTATTCCATTTATTGGCATAGTCATAGTAGGCTCTTAGGATTCTGTGTATTTCTGTGGCGTCCATTACAATTTATCCTCTTTATTTTAGTCTTTTTTTTTTTCTAAGTTAATCTAGATAAAGCTTTGTCAGTTTAGGGGCGCCTGGGTGGCTCACTGGGTTGGGCGTCTGACTTCAGCTCAGGTCACGATCACAGGGCTCTGGGCTGACGGCTCAGAGCCTGGAGCCTGCTTCCGATTCTGTGCCTCCCTCTCTCTCTGCCCCTCCCCCGTTCATGCTCTGTCTCTCTCTCTCTCAAAAATAAATAAACGTTAATTAAAAAAAAATAAAATAAAGTTTGTCAGTTTAACCAGCTTAGTTCTGTTCTTTTCTATCATTTTTCTTGTCTCTATTTATTTCCACTCTGATCTTTGTTATTTCTTTCTTGCTAATCTTGGGCTTAGTTTGTTACTCTTTTTCTACTTCCTAAGACATAACGTTAGGTTGTTTGAGATAATGTTTTCTTAACATAATCATTTATCATGATAAACTTTCCTCTCAGAGCTGCTTTTGCAGCATCCCATAGATTTTGGTGTTCTGTATTTCCACTTTCATTTGTTTTATTTCCATTTTGATTTCTTCTTCAACCCATTGGTTGTTCAAAGGTGAGTGAATTGTTTTGTTTCCACATGTTTGTAAATTTTCTAGATTTCCTCTTTTGTTGATTTCTAGTTTCATACCATTGTGGTCAGAAGTGTTCTAAATTTGCTAAGATTAGTAAGAGTCAATTCCCCTTTAGTCACTTTCCAGTTCAGGGATATTTTTATTCCCTGTTCTTTCTCCCAAGGAAATCTAAGTTGCCAAATACAAGTTCGCTTATGAAAAAGCAGCGTTTATTAATATTGGAAGTGGTTTTTCTTAGTTCATTCTATTGGCTGCTTCTCAGTTATAGATTGTCTTTTATCTGATCTTGGCCACTGGTCTCTCCCCTGCTGGATCTGCTGCTGTTGTACAGAATTCTATCATGATCTTTGTTTCATTTGCCTAAGATACATCCCTTGAAAATATTCTTATTTTCCATGGGGCGCCTGGGTGGCGCAGTCGGTTAAGCGTCCGACTTCAGCCAGGTCACGATCTCGCGGTCCGGGAGTTCGAGCCCCGCGTCAGGCTCTGGGCTGATGGCTCAGAGCCTGGAGCCTGTTTCCGATTCTGTGTCTCCCTCTCTCTCTGCCCCTCCCCCGTTCATGCTCTGTCTCTCTGTCCCAAAAATAAATAAACGTTGAAAAAAAGAAAGAAAATATTCTTATTTTCCAAACTTGAGAGTTTTCCCATTCTGCTGGCCATTTCAGCCACTCAAATATCACTCTTCAGGGGCAAAGCACAGGAACTCTCAGCAAGCAAGGGAGGCAGGATTCTATAAATTTCTTTCAAGATTGTTCAGTTTAAATGTCCTTCATTACTACTCCATTATTCTGGTATCTAAAGAGAAGAATTAACTGGGAGTCTGCTCTTATATCCAAATATCTGAAGACCTGGTATTTAGAAGAGATGATGTATTATTTCAAACAGAACAGAACAACTGTGTTGCATCTTATCTGCCTTCAATCCCTAAGCTCCCACTGCATAGTTTTGTTTCTAATAGTCAAGTGTGACAAACTTTTTGCTATGCTGGACCTTAATTCTTGTTGTTTCTGAGTCTGGAAAGAATTCCTGTGAGACTGTCCCCTACTTAGAATTCAAATCTCAGCTCAAATGTTGCTTCTTCCAAAAAGGCTTGCTAAACACCTACTCTCAGAAGTCACCTAGTCACTCCCAGTGATTTCTTCCTTTTTCCCCTTAATCCTATTATTTCACCTTTCTTCTTCCTCAATGCACATATCTGGTGGCTTATTGACTTGTTTCCTACTTTTATTGTGAGGTTAGGAGCTTTGTCCAGTGTCTCATTTGTCTTCCAAATATAGGCCAAGGCCTGACACATGATGGATAAATCACTGCTTAATGAATAAATAACATAATGAATATACACATGTTGTTCTTATCTCTTATTTAGTTGTGACGATGGCATGAGAAACACAGTCAACTTCTGAGGATATGTTCAACTGTTCATATCCTGTGATATTCATATCACAGCTGTTCAACTGTTTATAATTCTTTATTCAATCAGGTATTTTGTATAAAAAATGCAAGTATACTATACCAAATATGTTATGAATGCCTGATTGCAAATTTCAAAATAGGCTTTGTACCAGATATTACTTTAACACAGAATATTATTTTTAAGTACCAGAGGAAATGAAATTTGACTTAAGTTAAAGTTAAGGGAATTAAGACATCTATAATCTATAACAAAGAAAAGTATTGAAATCTAGAAAATTAGATATTATAAAAAAACTATTTTACAAGTAGTTAAATTATAATTCCACTTTTTTTTAATGTTTATTTTTGAGAGAGAGATAGAGCTTGAGCAGGGGAGGAGCAGGGAGAGAGGGAGTCACAGAATTCAAAGCAGGCTCCAGGATCTGAGCTGAGTACACAGCCTGATGCAGGATTTGAACTCACAAGCTGTGAGATCATGATCTGAGCTGAAGTCGGGCTTAACTGACTGAGCCACCCAGGTGCCCCTAATTCCAACTTAAAAAAAATGTTTTATGTTTATTTTTGAGAGAGAGACAGGGTACAAGCAGGGGAGGGGCAGAGAGAGGGAGACATAGAACCTGAAGCAGGCTCCAGGCTCTGAGCTGTCAGCACAGAGCCTTACGTGGGGTTGGAACTCACGAGCTGAGAAATCATGACCTGAGCTGAAGTTGGGCTTCATGAACTAAGCCACCCAAGTGCTCTATAATTCCACTTTTAAAGGAAGTGACTTATCAGACTCTGCTATAAAAGGAAAAGCGAATATAGATATTCTGAGAATGAAACAAGAGATGAAAGAAACAGAATATAAAGAGTTACTTAGAGTTTAGAAAATAAAATTAAAGTAGAAAGCCAAATATAGAATGAGTTTATTGTTCATAAATAGCTTTTAAGATTATAATAAAAAGCATTTACAGGGGAGATATTTACAAGGGACATACTCACGGGAGATATTTTAACAGAGAAATACTCTAGAAAGTAAGAACATTAATGATGATGTTAAACTGGAACAGTACTGTCATGTTATTTGTCAATTTTCTCATTAAAGTGTAGACAAGTGAGAAATAAAGACCTTGAAAAATTGTCAGTTGACAAAAAGCAGATAAAAGAGTAGTAATTAGAAAAATTTACCATATGCAAACCAGTGGGACCTGTCAGCCTTATTTTCTGTGATTTTCAAAGTATTGCCTTATGCACTTACCATTTTTGAACAGTCTTCAAGACATGATGTTTTACTGGTCGGTGTATGGAAACTCATTCAGTATTGAAAAGTGCCTGAAAGTCTATAAACAGCCACAGTGAATCTAATTAGAAGGAGAAGTCTAATAAAACACCACAGATCTGTTGCTATGTTGTCAGGTTTAAAACCTTAACAGTTTGGAAAAGGAAAGTATGAAAATGACCTTTGTACATGTTAATAAGTAGGTGGGCACTATAAAAACTTTGAAATTAGAAATATTTTTAAAAACCTTAAGGCTATAAATTTATTTTTTCAAAAATCCACACACTGTAAATAGCAGTAAATCTATATCTCACAAAGATTTATGAATCTTCCCTGTAAGAGACCTGAAGACTGAATGTATCTTTAAATTTTATCTGTTTGCCCACTGGGATGCGAAAGAGAGTTGACAAAGGAGACATGAGTGAAAAGATAATATAAATGAAATTTGAGCAAAAAGGGTGATAGGATATTGTGTGCCACATGAAAGGGAGTAACTGCTCTTCTTTGCTCAGCTTTCTGGTTGGATTTTTACCAATTTTATCTTTCCCAAAGAGAAAGGTATCTTGTAAGAATCGAAAGAATAGGGGCAACCATCTCCAACACACCACTTTCCAGGAAAGCTCGGCATGCAGGTCTACAAATTTATAACAAAACAAGCTTATTAGAGAAAGAGGCAGATCATGAAGTCATCAAGCTGTTAAAAGACTTTTGCCAAAGGGAAGCAACGTTTATTTGACCTGTGTTAAAGCCCTAATCACCAATGTGAAGATTATTTGGGGGTGGGGACTGTCGGAGGTAATTATGTTTAGATAAAATCATGAGGGTAGACCCTTCGTGATATGCTTAGTGTCTTATAAAGAAGAGACCAAAGGGCTTGCTCTCTCTTTCTGTCTCTCTCAGTCATATGAAGATACAATAAGAAGGCCTCCATCTGCAAACCAAGAGGGCTCTGACCAGACCCTGAACGTGCCATGGTTTTGGACTTCTTTGGCTCCAGAACTGTGAGAAATAAATGTTTGCTTTTAAGTCATCCAGTCTATGGTAATTTCTTGCAGCAGCCTAAGCTGACTAAGCCAGTCAGTGTATAAAATGGTAACACATTACTGTAGATATATGTGTACACACACACACACACACACACACACACACAATTGCTTTTCCTTGCATAATATGATGAATTGTACATAAGTCCTTACTTAAGCTGCAATGGAAAGATGAATAAGAAAGGAGAAAAGACTTAACCTTTAGCAGTGGATATGTGGTTCATATCTTGCCCAAATTCATTGACTTCAAACTTTTGTGAAACTAATCATCAAGAGTGTGTTAATAACTCACAACTAGTTTAGGTTCTAACTGACATCATTTATATTTTTAAATAAGAAATTTCATATATTATTTTCCTGCCTTATTGCCCCCTAAATATCCTTCAACTACCTCTCAATTAAAATTACAAAGTAAAAGTCAAATACTTATTGGGTAGTTTTAGGACATATGATGTTAATTTTATGTGTCAACTTGGCTAAGCCCAGTTGTTTGGTCAAAAACTAGTCTCGATGTTTCTGTGAAGGTATTTTGTAAATGTGATTAACATTTATAATCAGTTGTCTTTAAAGAAAATTTCCCATGATAATGTGACTGGGCCTCATTCATTTAAAGGCTTTAAGAGCAAAACTGGAGGTTTCCTGCAGAAGAAGGGATTCCTCCTGAAGCCTAATCTAGAAAGCTAGCCTGAATTTCTAGCCTGCTAATCTGTTCTATGGATTTTGTACTCAAAATGTGAACATCAACTCTTACTGGAATTTCTATCCTACCAACCTGACCCACAGATTTTTAATTTACCAGTCTCCACAATAGTGTTAGCCAATTCCTTAAAATAAATCTACATATCTCTATCTGTATATCTGTATTACATTGTTTCTATTTCCTTAGCCAACCCTGACTGATAAAAGGCTCAATGCTTTCCTAGGAACTCTGGGATATACTAACATTTATACACGTACAATTTCCTCCTTACTTTCTACTGGAAGGAGTACTTTTACATTACTTCAGCAGTGGTGCAAAAGCCTGGAGCCCAGAGACAGGAAGTATAGTTGTAGACTTTACTTCTTTCATTTATTTAAAAAAAAAATTTTTTTTTTCAACGTTTATTTATTTTTGGGACAGAGAGAGACAGAGCATGAACGAGGGAGGGGCAGAGAGAGAGGGAGACACAGAATCGGAAACAGGCTCCAGGCTCTGAGCCATCAGCCCAGAGCCCGACGCGGGGCTCGAACTCACGGACTGTGAGATCGTGACCTGGCTGAAGTCGGACGCTTAACCGACTGCGCCACCCAGGCGCCCCTACTTCTTTCATTTAAAGAAATCTTTAAAATGAGTTGAAGGTAATGCTGTCACTAAAGGTAAGACTCTTATTAATAATGATAATGATGGAAAATTTAGAAATTAAATCACAGAACTGTAGCCCGGATTTGTGTGTTCCCCCCTATAAAACAAATTATCTTGGGGTGCCTAGGTGGCTCAGTTGGTTGAGTGTCTCACTCTTGATCTCAGCTCAGGTCATAATCTCATTTTGTGATTTAAAGCCCCACATAGGGCTCTGTGCTGGCAGTGCAGAGCCTGATTGGGATTCTCTCTGCCCCTCCCCTGCTCTCTCTCTCTCTCAAAAAATAAATAAACTAAAAAAACAAAACAAAACAAAAGAAATCATCTTTAGTAAACATATAATATATACCTATGAAATCATTAGAAACTTATAAGATCCTGGCATTTTTTGTTATCTTTTCTAATTAACATTTTTAGCAAATTTAGAGTTGTTAAAATATAGTACTTTTGTCAACTTCGCTATATTTACTTAACCTGTCAATACTAGTAAGGATTTCAGAATATTTTGAACAGTGACTAAGAAGAATCAAATGATTTATGTCATAATTTTGTCTATCAGCAATGGGATAATATGCTAGAATAATGTTATATATTTTTTAACACTTCAAACACTGCTTATTCTAAAAACTCTCAATGAAAACATTATTAAAAAAAGCAAAAATTTAGGCTTCTCAAGGCATGAAAGAGGGAATGAAAATAATATTTAAAAAAATGATAACATAAATGAGGGTGTGAGAAGTCCTCCCCAGTTATTGTTTCTAATAAATAAACTTGTATCACACTTAGAAGTTTATGAAACACTTTAACACATGTTTCATACATACCTATGCCATACAATAAGCTCAGCCAAACATGATTGTGTTTTCATTACAGTTGCCCCAATAGAAAACTCTATGAGAAGAAGTGGTTACTACCTAGGAAGTTTTCCCAACAAGGCACTGATCCACACTTTATTCTTCAAAAGAAAATGCTGTGGTGTTGTATGTGAGTAAATGTTTAGTCATATCTTAAAAATATAGCACAAAATAAAATTACAGAAAAACATCCAGCATGGAAAAAGAACTACAAAGGTTGTATGTTTTCCTTATTCCTTTCCTTATTTTTCCTTATGGAAAATAATATTTATTTATCAGCAGAAAGCTATAAAAATTATTACACTTTATGTCAATAGGGAAATATTAGGATCACATCGTACACACAACCAGTTCTTTTTTTTCTTGGAAATATTTCCTAACTTAGCACTCTCATAGAACATATCTCTTGCACTCCAAGTTATTTCCTTTACCCAAAGGCTTTGTTTTAAAACTTGATTCTCGGGGCGCCTGGGTGGCGCAGTCGGTTAAGCGTCCGACTTCAGCCAGGTCACGATCTCACGGTCCGTGAGTTCGAGCCCCGCATCGGGCTCTGGGCTGATGGCTCGGAGCCTGGAGCTTGTTTCCGATTCTGTGTCTCCCTCTCTCTCTGCCCCTCGCCCGTTCATGCTCTGTCTCTCTCTGTCCCAAAAATAAATAAACGTTGAAAAAAAATTAAAAAAAATAAATAAATAAAACTTGATTCTCTTGAATAGTAATTGTTTTCTCAAACAAGGCTTCTATCAGATTTGATATCCAGATCACCATCTGCCTGTTCATAATATTTTCATAGAGTATGACTTATTTTCTAAAGCTGAAATGTTAGGTACAAGCATGGAGGTTTACATTGTCAACATTGTCTGATAAACATTTTGTTAATTCTGCAGATATTTTCATGGCTTTTTTGTGTTTCTGTTCACAGTTCACATTCTGCTCTTCATTATAGTAAATTTTCATGAGACTTTTCACTTGTCAAAAGTCAGATTACAATGAGACTGACTACTTTATTCAGTTTTGATGAATGGGAATGCACTAAAGCTTTCTTACATCAACTTGTATAAAATCTTTCCAAATTGAGATCACTTAATCAACTATTAAAGAGCAAAATAGAAATTTTATCTTTATCCAGGAAGGTATATATTCTAGAAATTCAGGTAACATCATTCCTATTTTGTACTTCTAAAAGACCTTCAGTGTGCCATTAAATCATCTGAGGATGACAAGGCCTACTGCCTTCTATTATTCACTTCCAAAATATTTATTGTTTGCAGCATCAGGGAAATTTATAGATATTATGATGTTTCTTCTCCTCACTCTCCAGTCTACCAAAGCGCAACCCCTGATAACACTTTTCAAACACATACTTAGAGATCAATATCTATGAATTCCAGAAAATGTGTGCAAATTTTGTATGCATGTGCATAGTTGTATTTTCCTGATAGTTTTATTAGATTTTAAGGGCGATGAATGATATTCCTACTTCCTCACTCCTACCAATTAATACTCATTTTTCTAGAGAACACAATTAGGTTGTATTATTAGCATATTAAAATAATATAATCCATCTAACTAGTTAATATGGCTGCTATAAAAATAACTTTGTTAACTTATTTATTGGAAACACCATGATAGAAACTTAACGGTGTAGATAAGAATATACAGTAATTTCTTTCTGTTAAATTTATACCAATTTAGATAGAGAAGACAGATATTTGCACATCTGCATGAGTTTTAAAAATGCTTTTAATGAGGCAAAAAAATATGGTCTAATAAACATTATACCTGACTCTTATACATTATATGAATTTATTTTTATGATCAAATTATACACTAAAAAGAAGAAATACTTATCTTGAAGATATTTAATATATGACTGCTTATTTTAAATAAATCCTTGCAGGGGATTCAAGTCCAAAATAATGAAATAGGAGGATCCTGAACTCACCTCCCATGAATGCCCCAATCTTTAGCTACATATGGAATAATTTCCTCTGGGAAAAAACAAAAAACAACAAAACAAGCCCAAGCCAGCTGAGCAACTCCTACATATTGTGTGAATGAGCGAAAAACCTACATTGAAGCCAGGAGAGGCTGAGACACAATCTTGCTCCTGGTATGGTAAACCAAATCAGGAGGGAACTCACAAACTTGAGCTTCTTCCTGAGAAGTGAACCCCACATTGACACCCCATCATTTAAGATCTGAACCTGCAAGATCTTTGAAAGCCATGGGGCTTATAGCCACAAGACTTACAAGACCATAGCAAACTGAGAAATGATTCTTAAAGGCTGACACATACAGCCTCACCCACCCCAGGGATGAGCACAATAGCAGTTGATTTAGAGCCTGCACTAAAACATGTCAGTGTCCCATAGGGGAGTATGGGACATTCAGCCTAATTGGAAGCCAGACTTTCAGGCAGCACATCATATTTTTTGTTAAGAGATAGAGAAAACAGGGAAGGGACAAGGCTTATTTGTGTGAAAAGGCTTAATTGTTTATTTTAAAGCATCGGCCTGCAGACAGGTATTTAAGAGCCTAACAAAATATTCTCCAAAGATAGAAGCAAGTGGGTGCCATCTTTGTATTTTCTTTCTGCCTACTACAGCTTGTTGGTATCTCCTGGAAGGAAGCTTGCACTCTGTTAAAGCCAATTTTTGTGGCTTTAACTCTGTGAAAGCCTCTAGATCAACTGGCTCTGGTGGGTAGTGGGGCTTATGTTCATGGGCCCCATAGGACTGTAACAAATGGAGTTTTTAAATGGCTACTACCACTTCTAAGGCACAGCAGAGGCATG